CTATTACTGCTATTGTTGCCATAACTATTACTATTGCTATAGGGCTATTGGCACCATTACCTCCAGTGCTCTCCCGACTCCCAACTGTTTCCATGCTCATTCTCATGCAAATATGAAATGCTTCTGTTATTAATGACGACAATAATAATAGGAAAGAAGGATAATAACAGTAACACAATAATAATGATATCAAATCACCACCACCAACAACAACATAATAACAACAACAACAATAATCATAAACATCATAATAGTAACAATGAAGATAGTGATAACAGACATGGTGTTGATGACAATGCTACTGCTGGTGATAGTGGTAACAGTGATAATACTTAACAAGCACTAGTATTACTGCTACTCCTAAAATACTTTGTTGTATAACAGGGAGAATCTAATGGACATCCTATTGCTAACACACATGACTTTGCAGGTAGGTTTTGTCACTGTGCAATGGTAAAAGAGAGAGAGAGAGAGAGAGAGAGAGAGAGAGAGAGAGAGAGAGAGAGAGAGAGAGAGAGAGAGAGAGAGAGAGAGAGAGAGAGAGAGAGAGAGAACAAAAGGAAGAAAGAAAGAAAAAAAAATATATATATATAATCTATCTATCTATCTATCCATCTCTCTCTCTCTCTCTCTCTCTCTCTCTCTCTCTCTCTCTCTCTCTCTCTCTCTCTCTCTCTCTCTCTCTCTCTCTCTATATATATATATATATATATATATATATATATATATATATATATAATCCGTTGCTTTCCTTCCTTATCGTGGTTGTTTACGCTACCGTTGGAGATTAACATGTGGCATATCACGTGTTATTACCGATAGTTACTGAGACTGTGCAAACGTCCGCAATTATTTCATCTGTGAGAGTATATGCATGCGCGACTAACTAAATATGTTAACAATGTGACTTGAGAACACGAGATATCTCTGATGTGTTCATGGACTGAAAATTGTTAGATTCAACTTCTTTAATTATCAATTAGTTGAAAAGAATCATAGAAGTCCGGTTGCAGTCACGAGATAGATTTAAAACATCCACCGTCTTGAGAGAAAGTACTAGAACAGACGTATAGTTCGCCACGTGGGTCTTGCTTGTCTCTTGATCTGATGACGTCACGTAGATAACGACTTCTGACGCTGAGAGAAAAAAAAAAACTTTATCAATAAAAGCATCGTGCTTACGTGGCATTCCTTTTGTAAAAAATCCACGACCGATTTTTGAGTTGTAGAGGTAATAAAATAACGTTCTTTGAAGATTTGTGAAATGTACGAACACTTCGATTTGGTTACGGAAATTCGAATAACACTTGCTGCTCTTTCCTCAATACATTTTGGCTATAGTCACTGTTAGAAACCTATATAACCCCTTGACTGATAGGTACAGAATCCAGAGAGGTATTATTCCTGAGTTTTTAATCATTTTCATAGTTAATCACCTTCACCAAACGAAAGTGATCTGACGCAATCTGTCGACCCGCCTTTATCTTTCGGCCAATTGGTTTCTCATTTTCTCAACATTATCAAGCAAAATGTTACGGATAGATTGTGATGAAATTTCTGGATGGGTTTGCCATAACTCAGGGATACCGTCTGATTAGGTTTTAGTGGTGAACCGGAGCCACATACGGTTTTATGAGGGGATTAAAAAACAAACAAACATAGCAGTGTGGTTTATTTGGGAAATGATTTTGCTGGAGAATACTGTATTATCATTATTATTATTATTATTATTATTATCATTATTATTATTATTATTATTATCATTATTATTATTATTATTATTATTATTATTATTATTATTATTATCATTATTATCATTATTATTATTATTATTATTATTATTATTATTATTATTATTATTATTTTATTTTTGGCAATAGCACAGGTCTGCGCTCTCTCACTGTTTTCTTGTTGGCAGACTGATATAATTACCGTATTTTAAGAATTCGAAATAGAACACTGTTACGAAAAAAAATATTTAGCCAGTTAAAGGCAGATCTTTAACATATTTTCCTCCGGTATGACTGCGGTGAGTCATACAGGTTTATTTAGACACAGTGAGCAGCTCTGAGACATTTAGACGGCTTT